TTTGTTTTCATCACACGCACCCTTTTCATATTTATCGTGTTTGCGTTCTCGGCGGGGATGTTATCTATTAATTTTTTAACATTTCCCTCATCGTCGCCCCGTAAAGCGTAATGTTTTCATCACATAAACGATACGATCACGTACTGTGCGCAAAAGCGAGATACGTTTCCTTTTTATAATGTAAATATATAACGCTAGAAAACGTGATACGCGTTTTCTTGTTTCTGAGTTATAATATTTAACTGGTGTAGAATATGTAACACTAACTTTTATTAACTTGATATGATCAAATGCAGCTTAATTACGGCTATTCTACTTGTTTTAAAAGGCCTTTTGAACATACATTTTCAACATACTGACACTAATTTGTAATAAAAGTGTTGCGATTAAACCATGACACCTTTAATTTAATGTTTATATTCAGACCAATTTTTGTGCCTCAATCAGACGACATGAATACATAAAGATTCGTCCGCTCGCACGAACTTGTAAATAGGTACAAAACACATGTGGAGCGAAAGATTCTGCTGGCAACGCGCACGGCGCATCCAATGTGCCGGTTCGTTTATCTCAATATCTCAGACGGGCACACGCGTACGTGCCGTGCGCGTTATGTACGAGACTGAAATAAAATGCTGCTTTAACACAATACAATTGAATATATTATGTGGTATTACAGATAATACAATAATATACCAGTAGCTAGCAGTTGCTCGTGATTGTGCCAGCACAAAAAAGCCTGTTCCTCCCGAATCTTTTAAAAGTCCCGCTAAAATCGGTCGAGCAGTTTCTGAGATTACCTAGCATAAACGCATACTGATAGACGAAACAAATCAGGATTGAATTTGGAAAACGGATAGGTCTGTAATTCCGCGCGGAGGAGAAATAAGCCAGTGTTGCTATAAATAATAATAAAGTTGATCGATATATGAGGGAATTTTATTCAGTTTTTATGACAATAGAAAACATTTTACACATCTTTGTATGAAGCTAAGGAAATTATTAATTAAAAATAAAACTCACGACAAAATAGCATATCTTTATTAAATTAGAAACAACCTTAAAGTTCTAGAAGTAACAAATTATACGGAGCATTAAAATAGCAAATACCATCATAGTAACATCACAGTTTGCAAATAATAACGGATAATTTTGAAAACAGTTTGTACAATAATTTACAATTCTCTCTCGTCTACTATCACAGACCAAAGCATGGAATTTAATGCTGAGCTAGAAGATTTTGAACCTTATAAGTATTAGTTTAAGATCTTATTTATTGAATTAAATTCTACTATACAAGTTATCTAGATTTAATGCACAATAGAGGCTAGTGAAGTGACAAAATTTAGTAAAATGTGTTCATGACACTACAACTTTATATGTTTAAATGCAAGATTAAAAAAATTAAGACAATTTCGGAAGAAAATTATTCGATTCAAATTAACAAAAAACAAGGAAAACTATAATTGTAGTGAAAAGTTGAAAAATTTCTAACTAGATGGCGTTGTCGTCTATTAAAAAAATAGAATTCTATTTCCTATTTGAATGTCGAACCGGATCGTTCCAATAGAAATTACAATAAAAATATCTTTGAAAAATAACAATTGTTATTTTTTTTATCATAAACTCATGTGATGTCATGTTAAATAAACAGTGTACATTTATAATTTGGTCCCAAAATATTGCTTTAAAAATTTATATCGCAAATAAAAACTGACGTTGCTGTTACAAAAACTCCTATTTTAAACTGGATTCAAACATTTCATAAATGTAGAATGTTTGAAAATGACATTTTTATAATGAACAACATTTATTTTATAAATAAAATGAGATATCAACAAATATATAAGGCAAGATATATTTGTAGATATCTCATTATATGTATACGTATATATACTTCTGTATTTCTCCGAACTATGATTATTTTTCATTAATGCAATTTGATTACTTTATAAATTAGATCAAAAGCAATACTGACGTTATAAACAAGCTAATATGGTATTAAACTCTTTTTGCATACAAATAAGAAACAAGATTCATTACCACCTACTTTACAAATACAATCAAAGAATATAAATCTTATGAAAATTCAATGGCAGTAATTATTAAAAAAAATAAAATAAACAGATATTTTTGATAAACAATAGTTTTTTTATTTTGATATTTAAAGTTTGTTCGAAGTTTTATTATACTTTTATATCTTTTTAAAAAATAATTTGAGTTCAAATTTTACAACTTATATGAAAAATTGTGATAAATTTAGTCTAGTTACGAGGATATCGGTTGGTATAGAAATACAACATAAGTACCGAGAATTACAAATAAATAAGTACATGAACGACCATATCTATTGAGGTAAGAAAGTCATGGATGTTGGTCAAAACTTTTTAATTAAAGCAGAAATAAATCCAGGGTAAATTAATGAACAAAATTTGAGAAAGCCATGGCTTGATGTTCCTTAGATATCAAAGCATATTTATGCCTTAAAATATAGTTTTTGATAATAATTAGAAAGTTTAAAAACGTGGTTATGTTTTACTTTGTAATCTAGATGGCGTTGTTCTCAATTTAGTCCAAGTGCAGTAAGTGTTGCCAAATTCAAAATTCTAAATTAATTTTGTACTTTCCGCTGCTATTTAGTAAACATGTCTAAAATTCCGTGCCATTTATAAATAGGAAAATACGTACACAGAGTAATTAACAAGCAATTAGCAGAGCATTATCAGCATATGCTAAACAAGAATAAAAAATAACCATTTATAAGATAATTTGATATCGGTATTATTTTTACGTTTACTTACATAAATATTTCTGTTGTGAATATTGGAGAAAAAAACTATTTTAAATAAATTTTTAATCTGTATATCTATTCGCTTCAGTTTCAATTCCTACAAAAATATTTTTTTATTACTGGATGGAAGCTTTCCTTTTTTTTGTTATAGAACACTATTGTACTAAATGTCTGATTGTTTGCATTATCTGTGCAATTTCTACATGTCATTTACTCAAAAAATATTCCACAAAATATGTCCCAATATACCTTATCATACTATTGCTTGCATTTTCAATGTAAAGTCATAGTGAAAACATTCATGTTATGAACTATATAAATAGACTATATAGTGTTTTTTTGTACACATACTTATAAGTCTAATATACTAGTTTTTATATGAAGAATACTGACTTCAGAACACCCAAATTTATATATTCATAAATTTTTTTCCTTCAATAAAGCAGAATAGAGACCAACCAAATTTTAAACCCCTTCCCAAACTTTAGGAAAGGGGAGAGTTCTAGAATTTTCTATAAATTATATTTCAAACTATTTTATTTCACATATTGACTTTGTAATTGTAAATAACTGTACTATTCTAATATCCTTAGTTACATTCCATTGTGATGAGGTGTCCCCATCACCCCGCTGTGTCCCCACGTTGGGACAGATGAGAATAAAAAGTTGCATTCGTCCCACCTTTTGTGATTAGGGGACGGTTGGAACTTATTTATTTACGGTTCCACCTGTCACCTTATTGGTTAAAATGGGACTAAAAGATGGAACGGATGAAACATTTTATTCTCAGCTGTCCCCACGTGGGGACTGTGAGGGGTGACGGTTGAGAATCATATAAGGTGACTATTAAAGACATCAGAACTCTTCATATTTAAGTATTATAAAACTATTTAACAGATTTATTGGCATTATTTGTCCAGTTAATAAGTGTATCTGATGCATTATCTTCGATATCTAACAAGAGATTATTATCTTTATCAAAATCAATAGTATTTGCAACTATATCATCTTCATGTGTTTGCAGATTAACATAAGACAATGATTTCTGTTTCTGCTTCAAGTCGAAAATCTCCAAGTCCTCATCATCATCATCGTCTGATTCCATTGTTAATGGTATTCTGGAAAGTTCCATATTGTCCCTTCTGTCATCTGATTGAAGAACACCATATCTGAATTGGTTCGTTTCACTTGTGCCATGAGAGTTGGTGACATCATTTTTCTTGCCACTTCTGAAATTTTTAAGATACTATCAAATAGAATCAAAACAATAAAAAATGAGTTCTGTTACAAGTTGGTAGAACTAATTGTGTTTATACTCCTATTTGAGAAGGTGGGATAAAGGTAGAAGGCAATCAATTCTACAGCTAGATTTATAGATATGCTATCATTAGCCTAGTCTTACTGATCAAATGCCTCAAAATTTTTTTTTATTGGCATTGGGCAGATTTATTTATGCCGCCCAAGTGTTTCCAATTGGTCTGATCAAGAAATACCCATATTATTGATGTATATGTAGTAATATATATTTCATTTCAAGTTTATCCTTCTATTAAATACATCTTTTTAAGCATTACAGATGTAATGTCGGTCACTTAAACACTATCCTGGCTTATCCGTCTACGGACGAGGCCGGGATGGTGTTTAAGTTGGCCGACATCTGTTTGAGAAAACAGTTGGACAACTGAGGTTTTGAGAGTTAGACTTATGGGGCGTTATCGTCGCTTAGCGACAAAGCCCCCTGTAAAAAAAAATACATCTTATAATAATTAAAGGATATATCATACTAATATTATAATACTTAATACTAATGGATGGATGGACGTTTGTTAGTATTGTAGCCTAAATGGCTGAATGGATCTTCATGAAATTTGGCACATGTTTAGAGCATAGTCTGGAAGAACACATAGACTACTTTTTATCCCAGTAATAGTTACGGTTCCTGTGGGATTCATTAATTTAGTTTTTAAATGTTTACTCAATCATTCTGCGATGGTTCAACACAGCTTATTAGAATTTTTTAAAAGATATAAAACAAAGTCTGGAGTACACATGGGGTAAGGTTCATCCCCCAGAAATGTTCGTTCCTGAGAGATAGGTAGCTATTGTTATTTGTATAGTTAGTATGTTTTCAACATGGCAACAGCTAGTATTAAGATAAAGGAAGACTGAAAACAGTATAGATAGTTTGTGTGAAAGAATGTTAAAAGTGCTTAAGGGAGTGAATTCAGATGTGACGGCTGATAGAGATGTATGGGAGAAGTACATACTGTGCTGACCTTCTGACACAAAGGTAAGTTGATGTTGACATAATTAAAGTTCACTTACTTGCCTTAACCCTGTTTTACTATTTAAATCTAAATACTAAGTTCAAAATAATAAATTTTACCTGTGCCATATGAAGTATGCACCAGCCAAAAACGCGAATCCACCAAAGACAATAAGACCCCTCTTTAAAACTCCGGGATTGTTAATATCCAGCTGACTTGATGCTGTTTCATTATGTTTTGCTTCTGTGGTATTTATTGCCTTTGGTAACAGAGGTGGTGGTTTTGTGTCATTTTTTTGTGAATCATTTGGTGTGGTATTCACTGAAAATGTTCAAATTTCAAATGTAAATATTATCAACAGCTTATCATTAAAAAAATGTTTTTATTAATTGATTAGGTGAGTTCTATACATATTTGGATTAGCATGTTTCATAAAATGTTTATCCAATAAGAATTGATATCAAAACAATTATAAAAAACTAAACGAAACAGTTTTTAGAAATGAATATGTTTAACTTTTTACAATGCATTACCTTTCGGGGAATCTTGATTTACAGTGTTATTTGGAATATCGTGACTAACACTAATTTGTTTGTTGCCAAGGTCGACTGGCACTTGTTTAGTCTCTGGATTTGGTATCTTAATATCATTCCCTCCACCTTCGTTTGCACCTATTTGCTCCTGCGTCTCCCTCTTCCGAAGCTTTATTAACCTCGCCGCATTATGCACTGATGGCCATAAAGAATAAATACTATCTAACTCTGAACCGCTTCGGCCATACCAACTATCTCTATAGAAATCTTCAGATGTTGTGGCAAAACTTAGAAAACACATTAATAAACCGCACCGGAAAATCATACTAGCTTATGAAGTAAACTAAAAAAGTAATTAACACTTTTCTTCACATAAACAAAAGTTTCATCATTTATTGAATGTTCCCTTTTATTTCTCGTCGATTTGAAAATCCAAATCTAAGAAAAGGAAGGTAAACTTGATATTATAAAAGTTCACAGATGAGTAATCAACTTAGTTATTTTTGTTTTCAGTAATGCTAAGACAAATTATTCGTGGAACTGGAAATAATGACTTCATCTACAAATTTTTTGACGTTGACATTTCAGTTTCACTGTCAATCAAAGAATAACAGTACAGAGTAAAAAATCTCTTTCATGACTCAAGCAGATAAAATAAAATTTAATGAGCACAACTTCAATTAGTCCATTGCGAGTTTGGTTTTATTAACTTCAAGTAGCATGAAATGGAATTCGATTATTCCAATTCTTTATTTACGTAATAAAAAATATTAAATTTTATTCCATCATTGTTTAACAATAAAAAAACTCCCACAAAATGTGTACCCACAAAACATGAAAAACAGAGGGTTTTGCTGCGTTGTGGAATGGTCTGTCCTCGGCGGTATTTCCAAACCTCTGGAACTTAGGGTCCTTCAAGAAGCAAGCTTATCACCTCCTCAAAGGTCGGCTACGCATCTGCAAATCCTCCAGTATTGCGGATGTCCATGGGTGTCGATGAACATCTCGGTGTTCCCGCTGCTCGTTTGCCCCCTCTCTTATAAAAAAAAACGGGTGTCACAATAAAGATTTTTTTTTATTTAATATGGAGATTTAACTTCCAGTCCAAATACTACTATTGGTAAAAAAAATTAAAACTATACTTAGCGTGTTGAAAATGTGTTGTCATTAAAACTAAAATAAAAAAGACAATTCGTATCATTGGATTTATTTAAATAGACATTTATATTAATTACATTTTATAATTTAAAGTAGAGTTTCCAAATTTTAATTTTTGGTATCTATTAAACATCGATTGATTAATCACATGTTACAGCTAATGTTACAAACATCATCGGTACATTTTGTTCCAAACATTTAGGTACACAGTAAATATCATCTACAAAATTGAACAAGTTAGAAATAGTATAGATTTATCAAAGGGCTTAATTAATAACGTGTTACTTATTTAACGGCAGTGATAAAACAAGCCAACACTTCGTAGTTCACAGAATCCAAATGTGATTAACTTGTAAATGCCGTTGTCTTTGAAAAATAACTAAGATTGGGCACTGGTCGTTACTAATAAATACCAATTAATTTAACATTAAAATATAATGATAAACCAGTCAAGAAACTCCAACTACAATCACTCAAAATCTCACAACGTGAGCACACGTAACTCTCTGAATCAATAAATTACGTTTAAACCTTAACGTTAATTACAAAATAATAAATATATTAAAAATAATTTTTTTAAGAACTATATTATACAAAAATTCATAACATAGAAATGATATTACGCGTAGAGCGTACATTATTGATACCATAATATCTGGTACATACTTTTAATGTAAAATTAGATAGCTTATAAAAATAGATTGCACAAAAGACCGTTACGAAAATATTTGCAGTGAAGTATTTAATGCAACGCATAAAGTGATCGAAGTTTTTGAAATGTATTAAGAAGAAATATCAAAATTTTACCTCGCTCCACCCAGGATAATGTAGCCCGAGAAAATGACTCCGAGACGATAACGCCATTTTTTAATTCGTCACAAATGTAATTTAATAACTACGACAACTAATCGATGTTTAATTATCTGAGAGTGAGCTAATCAAATGTTAGCGCTATAGTGGTGTGCGATGAATTAAACATTTTATTTTATGGCCCCTTGCAATTGAAAATGTCTTAAACTGAAATATCGAAACGATCTGTCCGAAGCAGTTTACTGCGATCTGCGGCATACCGTTGTAAATCTCTACGTTTAAGTACATTTAAATAGATATATGTAAAATGTTATCTAACTCTTAAAAGTAAATATACGTATTAAACTTTTAATAGAATTCTACTTGCTTATCCCGAATAATATGTTGGCTAATAAATCTTCTGAAAATTTAATATAGCAATTTTCTATCTTTAAAATCACTACTAATTTGAAAGTACACACAAACATCGAATACTCTAATTATACTGAAATCTGGTCTCATTTTTTTATTGATAGAATTTCATTGTATGTTTGTTATTGTTTTTGTTCGCAATCACGCGTCACGCCATCGTCAGAATAAAGAAAATTATGTAAAATATTGTCAATTCGTGTTATGTCTTATCCTAAAATGATGGCACAAAAATTATGTCTAACAGAGGAGGGAACGCTTCACAACAGGGATTAAATCGTATTACAAATTTTCGTTCAACTGAGTAACATTCATTCTAAAAAAAAATATTTTTCCAAACATTAAGTAGGTATAGAATAAAATTTCAAGATATGAGCAAATTTTTACGTATAAAGAAATGTTGAATGTATTTTTTATTTCGAAATTGATAAGTTTGGGTTAAGTCTCCGTAGTCAGTCTTCCAAGAAAATTAATTTGTAAATATTGAAGCGGTAAATGAGCATGGAATGTAAGTAAGAGTAAAAATGATATTTTCAGGATAATAACCAACATAATAAATCGACATGCGTGGTAGGTGGTCTTTTCTTGCGGCAGCGAGTTATGAACTCTGGGAGAGCATTCCGATTCTAGATTATCGAAACATCTCAAAGTACTAATCCAATCCTATAACTATATTAAGACGAAAGAGCAAGACGATTCAAATCTAGCAACAAATTTATTTGCTCTACCTATTAAAATTGCTGTCCCGGACGAGGACGAAATCGATATCTTTCACCCTGAATAGTAATGGGTTTCTGATTCTCGAAGAATGGATTTTGAATCCATTTATGGATGCGTTCACTCAAGACGCGCTTTGTAGCTAGTCTTCCAGATCTCAGCGAGAGTGACCGCGGAGTGGAAACGATGGAAGATGCAAAGTGGCAGAGTGAACCGTTGTACCAGCGACCAGGCAACAAAACCGTAGAAATCAAGTTGCACCTGAGGACAAAAGAAAACAATTAAGTATTTATGTTTATTCTTCGTAACCTTTACCTATTAAACAAATGACACAAATCATGTAGTTTTATTCACATTTATTTTTTTCATCAATTAAGTTAAAGAAATCAATCAATACCGGGTTAGCGAGAACTTTCTGGGCCTCGAAGGTGTAGATGAGCCACATGGTAACGTTGCAGATAAGCAAGAAGGTGACAGCCTGGCGCGCGGGCTTGCTGCGCTCCTGTTCGGGAAGGTGCACGCGGCGACGAGACACGTCAGCAATGAACAACAGCTGAAGAACCACCTGGAAGTAGAACAATTAAAGCTATAAGGTAAATCGAAAAGGATCTTGTGCTTTTCTCTGCGTATATTATCTTAAAATAAATTACATTACGCATTCAGCGTTGTTTTCATTTGACAATAAGACAAAGTACAGTAAAAGTAAAATAGGAGATATTAAAAAAAATCGTTACCTGGAGCACGCTTAAACATCCAGTAATCATGACGAGCAAGTTCGGTTCATGAGTGAAAGCGCCCATACCGCCGGCGATGACGCTGAACACGGCGTATACGAAGAGTCCAAACGCAGATACACGGAGCAAGATGTCATTCAAATCCGATTGTTCTTCTGAACGAAACTTCAAAGATTGCACCCTGCGAAGAGGCTCGGTACAGGAAGGATTGGCGCTCCATTTTAATTTACGACCACTTATTTTAAAAAGAACAAAGGAAAACCAAAAATGGTAATGGAACACAAGAATAGAGAATAACGAAACGTAAAAAGGGTCGTTAAGAAGTTAAGTGAAGAAATTTATCCACAAACAAAGGGATGTTGAGAATAACATTAACGAAATAGAATGATAAAAAAAACATGAATTTGTATTTTAGGGAAAATTTAAATTAATAATTTTGATATAACCCAAGAGTGAAAATGGATGTACAGTGAATGAAAAACACAGAAATACAGCACATATGTGCAAAAAGTTATTTAAAATTGGAGCGGGGTGCAGGAGAAGGAATGAAAGGTAAACAAAATTTAACATAAATTAAAATCACAAAAAAATATAAAACAAGACATGAAAAAAATAAATAGCCAATACGACAAATGTATAGAAAGCAAGGTAAAAATGCTGTAAATATTGAATATATCTTGTTCTCTCTTTTAAAATGTGACTAAATGTTCTTTCTTCTTGATTTATTTTTATTAATTTCAACATACATACTCATTAATGTACAGTTCTATTCCTTACTTTAACTTACCGTATAAACCCAATCAAAATGGCCAAAATCGACAAGACCATGAGAGCGCAGTGGGAGACATCGGCCAAGTAAATCGAGAGACGCTTCAGTTCGTGATGTCTGATCAAGACGAAGAATAAGATCAAGCAGATAAGAGATGCGACCAAAAGCAGCAATCCACAGAAGAGGCCCTTGGAAGCTCCGGCACAGTCGACACGGTTGCCGCGCTGCGCAGCCGCCAGCGCCGCCGCCCTGCGGGAGAGAACAGCTTCCAGACGTCTTTCCAGATCTTCATCGTTCGCCACGCTGCAACCAAATATGCATTTGATAATGCACACGGAAATCAAACGCGTTTGTTAATACTGATCAACTATGAGTTCTAATTAATGACTCTATTTTAAAATTAGTATCTACATTAGTATCTAGTCTAAATCAAGTCAGTTAAATCAGTACATTTTTCCTAGTAATACGGATGAAATGCTATTGGTTGCATCGCTACTGGAGTGAAGTTTCACTACGTATGATATATGAAAGTATTCCTACTACAATAATTACCTTGGGTATCTTCCAATATGCTTCCACATAACGTAAATGACGGCAGCACCGATAAGCGAATACTCAATGATAAACGGGTAAAGATATGGAGCGGAGTCAGTTACGATGGTGCCCATGATTGGATTCCTTCCACAGACAGTTGTATTATCGATATTGGCAATCAGGGCCGCCGGGTTCAAGATATCGAAAGACTCGAACAGTTCCGTTGAATTAGCTAAGAAAAATAAAATAAAATTATAAGTTATTAACGTAAAATGAACCCGAATGCAAATATAAACTAAAATTAAGAGCTAAACAAAGACGGCACATGCAAAAAAATAACGAATGACAATCGACAGAATCATATTGCATGTGCAAACTACACTCGATAATATAAAAATCGCAAAATAACTGTGCAACGGCGGCGAACAAAATGTGATGCTTGAACTCCAACGACAAACCTGGCACATGAGGTGGTTCATCGACGCGATACTTTTGAATGCTATTGCCCCATTCATCTTTGTCTGTTATATACGTTTCCGGCGTGGAGGACACCATTGTGGTCACGCTATTGACTATGGGTTTTAAAGTCGAGGTGTAAAGCCATTGGAATACTTCCA